GAAGTGTTTAAATGGTTCTCTTTTAGGGCATTGTTAATTTTTTTTTTTTGCTTTTTTGGTAAGGCAGTTGGGGTTAAGTGACTTGCCCAGGGTCACACAGCTAGTAAGTGTCAAGTTTCTGAGACCAGATTTGAACTCAGGTCCTCCTGATTCCAGGACCAGAGCTCTAGTCACTGTGCCACCTAGTTGCCCTCGGCATTGTTATTCTTAATGTTGACTCCCACCCCAAACTAAGGTTGAAGGGGGGGAAATTCTTATAATAAGCATAGTCAAGCAAAATTAATCTATAGTGGCCATATCTAAAAATGTCACTTTCTGTACCTTGAGATCATTACCTCTCACATTCATACACCTCAATTTGTTCAGCCTTTTCCCAGTTTTCTAAGAGATAATCTAAGATGCCCCCTTTATTTTTATCCCTAAGTCCCCACCCACATTTCTAATCTTTTAGGATCAAGAAGTTTGTTTTGCTTCTGACTATTCCCTCCAGTATTATCCTCCATTAGTTTAACTCCCACCCCCAGCTTGTTTTCCCTGTTGAACAGTTTGGTGTATTTCTACATCAAACTTTATGTGTTCAACCTTCCTTTGACCCTTTCAGAAAAGTGAGGATCATCTGATGCCTACTATCCCCATACCTTCCTCTGTTTATTCTCATGCACCTCAATTATGAAAAATAATGAGTTCTATCACACATCCCCGTTTCCTCATTATTACACTAATATATTCCTCCTTTTACTGCCTCCCACCCTTTCTCTTTCCCCTTTTCAAACCCTTACAACCAGTCTACCCCCAGGACCCTTATCACAACCCTTTAATTTGATTTGATTTTTTTTGGTGAGGCAATTGGGGTTAAGTGACTTACTCAGAGTCACACAAGCTAGTAAGTGTCAAATGTCTGAGGCTGGATTTGAACTCAGGTCCTCCTAACTCCAAGGCCAGAGCTCTATCCACCGTGCAACTTAGCTGCCCCCCAATCACTACCCTTTGAAGACAGAGAAGTTCTCTCCTATTAGAATGTTGACACCATACCAGATCACTCCTCCTAACTGGATCTTAAGGGCTCTCTCTGGTGGTGCCTTGGGCCAGAATATTAGGGACCTCAGAGCCCTTAGGCCTGGGCTGCCTCAGTCCTAGCACTGTAGTGCTGCATTGGTCTGCACATTGCTCACTGCCTGCTGCCTTTGGGGTTTAGAAGCTCGCCACCATGGAGCTTTTTCAAGGGAACCTTCCACTTTTGGTGCCTCTGGACACAGAGTCTTGTAGGCAACATGTCCCACTGCTTCTGGCTTTTCAGAGGCAGGGGATTGCCTCTGGGCTTCTGGCTGACTATGCATTTCTGGTGTGGAAGAAATTACTTATGGATTTTCATTGGATTTCTTTATCATTCAGTAGGGAGTCAACTTAAGTTTTGCTGAAGTATGTGGAGCTGGTTTGCCTGCCTCTCATTCAGGCAGGCATCTTAGCAGGAGGTCCAAATTATATCTTCTTTCTTCCATTCGTAGCCAAAATCCTAAGAAAAGTGGTCTACAGTCATTTTGCTGTCATTTTTTCACTTTCAACTGACTTCCTAACCCCTTGCAACATGGCTTCCAACCCACCACTGGAATGAAATTTCTACTTCCAAAGTTATAAATGATCTCAACTATTAAACCTGATGGCCTTTTCTCAGTTCCTCCTTCCCTCTTTATCTCTCTTGTGATACTGTTCACCATCCTCTGCTCCCATCTACCCTCTCCTTCCTTGGTATCTGTGCTACTGCTTTTATCCTCCTACATGTGGCAACATGGCTTCCTTAGATCATCATTCACCTACCCTCTTAAGCATGGAAGTCTCTAAGACTGACCTCTTCTCCTTACTCATAGTGATCTCAACAGCATGAATGGCTTTATCATCTGGCTACAGATAATACCCAGATCTATATGTCCAGCCCTACTCTTCGGAATTCCAGTCCCATACCAATAACTGTTGGGCTTCTTCAACTGTTAACCTATTCACAATATCCAAAATGGAACTTATTTCCCCCAAAAATCCTTCTGGTTGAGATGACCTGGTTACCCAGGTTCACAAATTTGGAGTCAACCTCCATTCTTTCCTATCCCTTACACCCCTACTGCCAATCAATTGTGGAGTCTAGTCAATTGTACTTTCACATTTCTTATTGGTCCTACGCACATTCTTTCCTACTTTAGGCACTTAGCACCTTTGGCCAGCCTCCTAAATGGCTTTGTTTCTAGTCTCTGCCCTTTTTCAATCAGCCTTCCATGCAGCTGCCAAATTATTTCTAAGTCATAGTTCTCTGTCACCAGGTTACTAAAAAAAAGTTATCTCTAAGAAAAGATACAAACTCTAAAACTTGACATTTAAGCTCTTCACAATTTGGTCTCAACCTACCTTTCCAGACCTCTTTTCACATTATTCCTCTTCACACTACTTTCCAATTGAACAATCCTGCTAGTGGTCCCTATACTTAACATTCCAAATCCTGTATTCCTGCTTTTTGCACAGTTTGGAATGCACTCCTTCCTCATGTTTGACTCTTCTTTAAAGGTTCATCTCAAACATTTCCTGATCCCAACTGATAAATGTTTTCTCTTCAAATTACTGCATATATGTACAAGTTATGTCCCCTTGGTAGAATATGAGCTTCTTGGCAGCAAAGATTTTCTATATTCACTGCTTAGCACATGGTGGGTATTTGATTGACTTCAGTACACATTAAATACCTAGTATGTACAAGGAACACACTAATGCCAAATATTAGGTTTACTAGACAGCTTAGGAAAGAATAGTTCAGAAACTTAAGCATCTAATATATGTCTTCATAAATTCCTGGGCTCACATTCTTATAATCTAGCCAATAGCTTACTAATGTTCAGACCCCTTAAGAGTCTGCCCAATGTGATGAATGTTCTAATAAACCTCGTCTTTGGCTGAAAAAAAAATAAATTTCTGAAGTTAAGATGGAGTATTTCATAAGGAAAACAAAATGTGTAGACCCCTTATGTCCCATTCACAAGTCAGTTCTTGATCTAATAGAAACTTCCATGCAGTTTTGGCATGCTCACTTAATTAGTAGCCACCTTTCTGAAAACTTCTTTTGAAAATTATAGTACCTTACTAGCAATCTAGTTGAAATCCCAAGAGAAGCAATTGATGAATGTCAAATGTTCTAAACACTAATAATTATAGAAATGCAAATTAAAAGAACTCTCAAATTCCATCTCATACCTAACAGATTAACCAACTTGATGAAAAAAGGAAATGACATATGTTGGAGGGGCTGCAGGAAAACGGGCACATTGATGTAGCATCTACAGTGCTGTAAGCTCCAGCCATTCTGGAAAGGAATTTGGCACCATGCCCCAAAAGTTATTAAACTGTGTGCATATACATCGAGCCAGAGATAGGACTACTAGGCCTATGCCCCAAAGAGATCAAAGAAGAAAGTAAAGGTCTCATATACACAAGTATTTATAGCAACTTTTTTTGTAGTGGTACAGAATTGGAAACTGGGGGGGGGGATGCCAATCAATTAGAGAATGGCTGAAAAAATTATGGTATATGAATAAAATAGAATACTATTGTACTGTATAAAATGAAAGGGATAGTTTCAGTGAATCCTTGGAAAGCCTATATAAACTATTAACAGCAAAATAGAATACTTGATACAATAACGTTATAAAGACAAACAACTTTGAAATATTTAAAAAATCTGATCACTACAGGGACCAACCAGAGGACCTATGATGAAGCATGCTGTGCTTCTTGACAGAGAAGTGATAAATTCAAGACGAAAATCAGACTTACTTTTTGGGTATGTTCAATATGGGAATCTCTTCTGCTTGACTATGAATATTTTTTTACTAGCGTTTTGAAGGATTTTTTTGGGGGGGAAGATAAACAGGAAGGCTGAAGGGAAAAAAGTAGATTTTTGTTAATTGGGGAAAAAATAAACAAGATTAGGAAACCACAGACCACATTTTGGGTTTGTTTCTTGGCAATTTAGTTTTAATTGTGTAAGTACAAAAAATGTACAGCTTAAGTAAAAAAAAATCAAGATGAAAACAATTGATCAGAGACCTGAACACAAAACTCTTTTAAATAAGCAACTCAGACTAATCAAACCAAAATTTTAAGCAGATTTGATTATTGCTTGGGAAATTGGCAAATAATTTACTTTTCATAATTTTTACAGTTCTAATTTGTGCTCAATCAAAATTACATTGTTTTTGTTTTTCTGGCTAGGCAATGGGGTCAAAATTACTTTAACTGTAATTTTCCAGGAGTGAATTCATTTCATAAAGAATCTGAATGTTCATGGTTAAGTAATTTACTCAACACAGAATTAGTGATTTTAGAAATCAGATTTATAAAGTGCCTTTCTCCCAAGTTCTTAATCACAAACTACTATATAAGTGAATTCATGTATTAATTACTTTAAGGTTGAAGAAAATTTATTCCTCCTCATTTGGAAAAAAAAAAACATTTTCAGATTTAATCTGTAAAAATTTGCTCAAGTCAAATTTTATTACAACAAAAATCCACATAACAATGATTTTTAAGTGAAATGTATGGCCCACTTACTTATTTAAGCAATATTTTATATAACATTCCAGTAAAATGAAACAAATTGAACAGCTCCTTGGGATTCTTCCTAATAGGATCTTACCTATAAGACAAAATAGCATTTCTATAAATGTCTTAAAGGCTGAATTTTGTCTTTAAAATGTTCTTTGTTGACTCAAACACAAGTTCATATCTGGAAATTCAAATTTTGTAGTCTGTTACTATGGCAGAAATTAGAAGCCTCACTTAAATATGCTCAATTTTCTGATGTATTTGCAATAAATTTTACTTATAGAAAATAGAAATCATGTAATTGAAATTCGGAAGGATTCTGGTCAGTTGTTTTTTTGTCTTAACTTTTCAACTTCGAATGTCACATATATATATATTTTTTCTATTAGAACTCTAAAGTCACTAAGGAAACACACCTATAAATTTTAAGATATATTTATTTTAAAATATAAATAAGAAAAATAAATATTAATTTAGACATCTAGATTGAATCCACATATTCAAGGCATAACATTTTTTGGATATGAGACAAGAAAGAAAACAATAGTTATGAGTTTAAAAACCCTCTTAAAAATCTGTAGTTGTTTCTCCAGGATTAGTGCAAAATAATAACACTCCAAATATCCAGACCATTAGGCAAGTAAATGAAAAGGATTTTAAATTCTTAAAAAAAAAAAAAAGCAAATGACCTGAACAGAACAAACATGTCCATCTGTAAACGTAGCCTTTCTACAATGTTTCTTTGTTTCCCAAAAATCTTGAACTAGTTCCATAAAATGACACTTGGGGGTGACCTCCACGGGAACCTGTGTAGCTGATAAAATTCTTAAGGATGAATAATGAAGTTCTGTGATGACGCTGAATGTAATGTATCAATCCTGGAGAATCACCTCATGCACTCCCCCTCCCTGGAGTCAAGTTGGCTTTCAGTCATTTCTCACATTTGGTAAGGGTAAGGGCAACCAGATTGTTCAACATGGCCTCTTTTCCTCTTAATAGTGACTCTTGGGTTTGGGGTTCATGTCCCAAGGACAATGCTAAGCGCACCTAAGCCACAAGGTTAGCCTTTAAAACTTCCCCAAGCACAACTGATAAACTACGGGCTCTACTCCCCTGAACTAATGCCCTGGGTGAGGGAGAAGTGGGCCATTGAGCAAATGACTCAATATCCTGTGGCGTTCTACTCAATAGTAACTAGGGGAATGATGTACACAGGAAAGGATATATATTTATATATGGGGGTTGGATATATCTTTGGAGGCTAAATGTAGGAAAAACAAAGATGTACCTACAAGATTTAAGATGCACTAGCTATGGGGCATATGGCCAAATACTTTTTTTTTTAAGTGAAATTTAGTCAGGTATTAAAGGGCTCTTTGGCAGAAAATATTAAGGAAATAAAGTACTGCCTTAGATCATATAAGCTGTTCAGGGCAAACTGTACAGGTGTTTGCCAAAGCAGAGTGCCAATGATTGTATTAATATACTACTGGAGGAATACAATGTAGGAACCCTGAAAAAGGCTAGAATTACCTGAAATGTCAATAAGGATAATTTGCCTTGCTCCTAATGGAAATATTACAAATAGAAGTGATTTATATATTTACAAGAAATCCAAATGATTCTCAGGATACCTATCCTTCCTGGGACAATGATAATTTAGGTACCACACCATTACTGAATTTTCACAGCTAGTGTGTTACAGTTTTTTTGTAAGATACAGAGAACAGAACAGTTCTTTTAAGATTGTCTTTGTGAGTCGTTAAAGATGGAATGGTGATTACACACAAAACTACTTCAGTCTTTTTCAGTGAGTTCTCTTCATACGTAGACTGGAGTATTTATTTGGCCTGCTGGGGTGATCTTCCCTTACTGATGGCTTGTCAGGTTCTTCCAAGGCCAGCTTTCTCAGGAAACAGTACAAATCATACTGGATTTTTGATCTTTAAGTGGTTGCTGTTTCTGAAGTTCCTTTGAAATGCGTCTTCTAATTCCTAATAAATAGAGGTCTCGATCAAATTTGCCAGCAGCTAGAGGAATGCTGTAAAGGAAAAAGAAACTGTGATATGGATATTGCTTCTTAACTGTAAAACCAAGGAACAATCTGGACTTTGTAAGAGCTACAACAAAGTGAGATTTCTCTCCCTTTGGCACATGCATGCATTTTGTGGGTGTCTTCATAAAGGACTCTTTGTGGCTGAGTATAAAGTGGCTTTGGGCAGTGGTCTCCAAACACCTCCAACTAGGTACGTATATTTACTTATTTATTATATACATGTACTGCTATACTAATAATTATATATATCATAAAACTTACATGAAGATAGAAATTAAAAAGGATAAAATAAAGATGAAACAACCTTTGTTACTGCAGATGTAATTGGGAGCCTCTGGAATTTAATGAGAACCCAACTGGTTACTGCCGGTTGTATAGAAGAAGGGAGAGGCCTGAGGGAAAGCAACCTATTAGGAGGCCTTTATTATAATACAGCACGGGGGCAGAATAGGATTAAGGGAAACAGAGTTAGTTTTTCACAACATGTCTGTTATGGAAGTGTTTTGCATAACTGCACATGTACAACCTATATTGAGTTGCTTGCCTTTTCAATGAGGGTGGGTGGTGAGGGAGGAAGGGAGAAAATTTGGAACCCAAAGTTTTAAAAACATATGTTTTTTTAAAAATGTTTTCACATGCAACCGGGAAATAAGAAATATAGGAAATGGGGTACAGAAATCTATCCTGCCCTACAGGAAAACAGAAGGGGAAGGGGATAATAGAAGGGGGGAGAGAAAGAAAAGAGGACAGATATGGGAAGGGATATTCAGAATGCATGCCATCTTGCGGTGGGGGGAGGGTGAGACGGGTTGAAAATTTGGAACTCAAAAACTTGTGGAAATGTTGAAAACTACAAATAAATAAATTTATATTAAAAAAAATAAAAACAAACAGACAAAATAATACAGCATGGGAGAGGTTTTAAGGACCTTAACCAGGGCTATGGTAGTGTAAGTAGAGAAAAGGGGACAGATATGAAAAATGTGCAGGTAGAAATAAGATTCTGGAAATAACTGGATCTGTTTGTGTGATGACGGAAGGTGAGGAGTCTTGTAAACCTGGATGACTAGAAGACTGGTGGTACCCTTAATAGTAATAGCAAAGTTTGGGAAAAGAATGAGTTTGAGGGGAAAAATAATATAATGAGATCTGTGATTCAGTTTTCAATCCATTGGTGTCTGTTCATCCTGTGCAACTACAAAACTAGGAGGCAAGGCTCTTACACACTGGTCATTGCCCTGGAATGCAGAGCCTACTTTCCAAGGGGAAACTTAGAGTCACAAGGTGATGTTGGAGCAGGGGATAGGTACATTGTTTTTTTTTTTTTTTCAGAGTCAGTTGGGATTATGTGACCTGCTCAGGGTCACACAGCTAATAAATATCTGAATCTGTATTTGAACTCAGGTCCTCCTGACTCCAGGTGTCCACTGTGCCACCTACCGACCCTGAGCTTGAGTACACTGAAACAAGAGAAGTTGATTACATACCTCAAAGGGGCCCCAATTTGGAGACTACTGTCTTCGGGAACACACCAAGAGCTTTTCTTTCTAGTCTTAGCTACTCTAACTTTGTAATGTTCAAGGTAAGCCTGATTCATCAAAATGTTTATTAAGTATATACTGTGTTCAAGGCATTAAATATACAAAACCAAAAAACCAGCACCCAATCTAAAGATTATATTCTCCTGACTGAAAAGTTGATTTGCCATCCAACTTTGAATATCCCACTCAGATCTGTATCAAAACACTTGATTTTAAGAGGAAAAACAATATGAAAGCAAGCTTTAAATTGGGCCTATTTTGAATGAGTTATCTCAGAGATGATTTTAAGTTGACCTGTTGCCCTCCTGAGATAAAAATGAAGATCTCACACACACACACATATACACCTATATTCTTAAAAAATTATAATCCATGACATTCAAATGCAACTTAGAATTAAAAAAAAATAACCAAGACTTCTGAGTGGAACAAAAAAAGAGATCTGCATTTTTTTGGGGGGGTATTACACAAATACAATTCAAACAAATCAATACAAAATAATCACTTTGAGATGAGTCATTGGCTCATGGTACTGGTATCTCTGATTTATACAGCTCCAAAATGTGAGGCTACGAGGTTGAACTTAAATCAAGTCAAATTCCAAATTCAAACACCACCACCTCAGGACCTGACAAGAATCAGTGAACTTTGGAAGTCCTAACCCTAAGAGGAGCTGATGTGACCCCTTGTAAAAAGAGATGCATGAATGGGACACTAACTTGTCTCTCCCAGGTTTCACTTTTACTCGGAACAGACCATACACTGGGCGGTGATCAGAAGTCTTGATTCCAGGACAGGAAGAATACTTGATTGGGTAGATGTCTTCTATTTGACGGCTTTTATATACAACTCGGTCCTATAGGGAGAGATTTACAAAAGGCAGGGAAACTAAGCTGAATTCCACAGGAATACATGGTCTGCTCACCTTTCATTTCTTTTTAAAAATTTTCATAGAAAATAGAATAAGAGGAAAAAAACAGTTCAGAGCATCAGCCAAAGCTGACATCATATGCAATATTCCATGTCTACAGTGTTCCCACCTCTATAAAGAAGGGAGTGGAGTGCATTCTTCTACCTTTTCTTTGGGATCAAGCGGGATCATTATAATTTCACAGCATTCAGTTTTTATTGTTTGTTCTTCTTTACATTTACATTGTTGTGGTCACTGTGTTTTTACACTGGTTTCCTGGCTTTGTTTTTTTTACTTCACTTTACATCAGTTCATATAAGTCTTCCTATCCTTCTCTGTATTCATATATTCTTATACTACTGTAATATTCTATTATGTTCATGGATTTTAACTTGTTTAGCAATTCTCCAATCAATGGATATGTATTTTGTTCCTAGCTCTTTGCTACTATAAAAAGTGCTAAAAGTAATATTTTTATATCTATGGGAACTTTTTTTTTTAAATCTCCTTGGGGTATATATACCTAGTGGTGACATCTGTCACTGAAAAGGCATGGGCATTTTAGTCACTTTCTTAGTATATTCTAAACTGCTTTCCAGAATGATTGCATTAACTGTCCATTAACGTGCCTCTCTTTCCACAACCTCTCAAACACTATTATCACCTTTTATCATCTTTGCCAGTAACTAAGTTTGAGATGAAACCTCAGAGTTGCTCTGATTTGCAAGTCTCTATCTATTCGTGATTTTGGAGCAATCTTTGCTATGACTGTTAATATTTTAACAATTTTTTCAAATGCTGTTTATACCCTTTGACCACTTATACAAAGGAAATGGATTTTGGTGTTATAATAAATTTGTATTAGGGTCCCTATATACCTTTATTAGACATAATTCCTGTGAAGATTTTTTTTTTGCCCAATCAATCACTTCCCCTTTTTATCCTAGTTAAGTTGATTTGGTTTGTGCAAAAGCATCCAATTTCATATAACTGAAATGATCTATTTTATCTTTTGTGATCATTGTTTTGCTTGTCTGGTTTGGATTTCCCTCCTATAATACTACTAGGTCTTTATCCCAAAAGAGATAAAAAAGAAAAAAGAAAAGGACCTATATGTACAAAAATATTTATAGAAGCCCTTTTCTGGAAGTAAAGAATTGGAAATTGAGAGGATGACCATCAGTTGGGAAATGGCTGAAGAAGTTGTGGTATATGATTATGATGGGATAATACTGTACTGTAAGAAATGATGAGCAGGATACTCTCAGAAAAACCTGGAAAAGGCTTGCATGGGCTGATGCAAAGTAAAATGTACTGTGTACAAAGTAACAGCGATATTGTGAGATGATAACTGTGATGACTTAGCTATTCTGAGCAGTACAACGATCCAAGACAACTCTGAAGCACTTATGATGAAAAACGCTACCCATCTCCAGAGAAAGAACTGATGGCGTCTGAATATAGATTGAAGCATACTTTTTTTTTTTACTTTCTTTATTGAGGTTTTTTTGTCTACGTTTTCTTTCACAACATGACTATTATGGATATGTTTTGCATGACTACACATGTATAACCTATATCAAATTGCTTGCCTTCTCAATGTGGGGGGGAAGAAGGGAAAAAGGGAGAGAATTTGGAATTCAGAGTTTTAAAAACAAATAAATGTTGGAGGCTGTTTTTACTTGTAACTGGGGAAAAATAAAATACTAAATAAATTTTTTTAATATAAATTTGTTTATTTTTAGTTTTCAACATTCACTTCCACAAGTTTTTGAGTTCCAAATTTTCACCCCCCCTCCCCCCTCCCCAAGATGTCATTCTGAATATCCCTTCCCCTAGTCTGTCCTCTCTTCTCTCTCTCTCCCCTTCTCTTATCCCCTTCCCCTTCTATTTTCCTGTAGGGCAGGAGAGACTTCTGTACCCCATTTCCTGTATTTCTTATTTCCCAGTAGCATGTGAAAACATTTTTTTTAAAACATATGTTTTTAAAACTTTAGGTTTCAAATTTTCTCTTTCTCTCCCTCCCCACCCACCCTCATTGAAAAGGCAAGCAACTCAATATAGGTTGTACATGTGCAGTTATGCAAAACACTTCCAGTAGACATGTTGTGAAAAACTAACTCTATTTCCCTTAATCCTATCCTGCCCTCCCATTTATTCTATTCTTTCTTTTTGACCCTGTCCCTCCTCAGAAGTATTTACTTCTGATTACCCCTTTCCCAATCTGCCCTCCTCTCTATCATCCCCCTGCTCTCTTGTCCCTTCTCCCCCTATTTTCCTGTAGGGTAAGACAGATTTCCATACCCAATTGAATGTGTATGTTATTCCCTCCTTAAGCCAAATCCTATGAGAATAAGATTCACTCATTCCCCTCACCTTCCCCTGTTTCCCCTCCACTGTAAGAGACTTTTCTGTTTTTTTTGTGAGATAATTTACCCCATTCTACCTCTCCCTTTCTTCTTCTCCAGTATAATCCTCTCTCATCCCTTAATTTTATTCTCCAGATATGACCCCTTAATCTTCAACTCACCCTGTGCCCTCTATCTATCTACATATACATACATATAATTTTTTTCCTCCAACTACCCTAATACTGACAAAGGTCTCATGAGTTATAAATATCATCTTTCCATGCAGGAATGTAAACAGTTCAATCTTAATAAGTCTCTTATGATTTCTCTTTCCTGTTTACCTCTTCATGTTCCACTTGAGTCCTGTATTTGAAAGTCAAATTTTCTATTCAGCTCTGGTCTTTTCATCAAGAATGCTTGAAAGTCCTCTATTTCACTGAATGACCATTTTTTCCCCTGAAGGATTATACTCAGTTTTGCTGGGTAGGTGATTCTTGGTTGTAATCCTATCTCCTTTGCCCTCGGAATATTATATTCCATGCCCTGCGGTCCTTTAATGTAGAAGCTGCTAAATCTTGTGTTATCCTGATTGTGTTTCCACAGTACTTGAATTGTTTCCTTCTGGCAGCTTGTAATATTTTCTCCTTGACCTGGGAACTCTGGAATTTGGCTACAATATTCCTAGGAGTTTTCCTTTGGGGATCTCTTTCAGGAGGAGATCTGTGGATTCTTTCAATTTCTATTTTGCCCTCTGGTTCTAATATAGGGCAGTTTTCCTTGATAATTTCTTGAAAGATGATGTCTAGGCTCTTTTTTTGATCATGGCTTTCAGATAGTCCAATAATTTTTAAATTCTCTCTCCTGGATCTATTTTCCAGGTCAGTTGTTTTTCCAATGAGATATTTCACATTGTTTTCTAATTTTTCATTCTTTTGGATTTGTTTTACAGTGTCTTGATTTCTCATAAAGTCACTATCTTCCAATTGCTCTATTCTAATTTTTAAGGAAGTATTTTCTTCAGTAAGCTTTTGGACTTCCTTTTCCATGTGGCCAATTTTTCTTTTTAGGGCATTTTTCTCTTCATTGGCTTTTTGGACCTCTTTTGCCATTTGGGTTAGGCTATTTTTTAAGGTGTTATTTTCTTCAGTATTTTTTTGGGTCTCCTTTAGCAAGCTGTTGACTTGTTTTTCGTGATTTTCTTGCATCACTCTCAGTTTTTCCTCTACTTCCCTTACTTGCTTCTCAAGATCCCTTTTGAGCTCTTCCAAGGCCTGGGACTGATTCATATTTTTCTTGGAGGTTTTGGATGTAGGAGCTTTGACTTTGTTGTCTTCTTCTGGTTGTATATTTTGATCTTCTTTGTCACCAAAGTAAGATTCTATGGTCTGACTCTTTTTGCGCTACTTGCTCATGATCCCAGCCAATTACTTGAGTTTTAAACTCTTTGTTAAGGTAAGAGTCTGCTTCCACTAAATTTTTTTAAAAAATTTCCCTCCTAACCACAGTAATGAAAGAAAGAGACCTGATCTGGTTCTTTTCTAATTTTGTTACTCCCCTTTCACTTCTTATGTTCTACTGTTTAAAACAAGTTATCACTCATCTCAACCCATTTCAGGACTCACTTCACTTCGAAAAACTGATTTCACTTGAAAGTTATCTGTGTTCACAGTTGTTTGGGTTTTTTTTGGAGGATGGGAGGGTGGGATTGTATTCAAAGATTATTAGGACATTAGACTATAGAGCTGTCTTAAAGTATACCTCAGAATAAAAAAATCCATTTCTTTACGAATGTTCATTGGTGATTCTATTCAATGAATCCTGACAAGTAGGATGCATGTTTTCTCATTTGTTATGAAAGTAATAAGAAGATAACTACATGCACAGAATCTATGTGTTCCATCATCTGAGCTTTAATAGTATATAATAGATCCACTGGTTTCTTAACCTTTGCTCTTTCAAGAAGCATTACCACTATGAGAGAGAGTTTGACAGCAAACTTACAGCATAGGAAGGAAAAGGTCCCAAAGCTGAGGTAGCAGGCAAAGGAAACTGGTACCTAATGGGCATTTCATTAAACATTAGTTCTGTTAGTTCCTTTATGCAAAGGAATCTGACTTCTCTACAAATACATCTGGTAGAAATGGGAGCCTCAGGAAATATGTGGGATTCTTCTTTTAGTATTTACAGCTAAGAGTTATAATTAATCAGATAATATATTCTTTATAATAACATTACCTTCCCCCCAAAAAAGTCTGTTGAAATCAAATGTAATTCTATGGAATCAATAAAAAATATCATTAGCTAAAATTCTAGGCAGTTTCTACATAGTGGCATTTTTTTCTTACAATGATTGTGACAACCAAGAGTCCACGTGTACAAATTTTCCAGCTGGATATCAATTTTGGAATTACATGGGCTAAGCAAGGTCCGGGTTTCTTCAAACAATAAGTATTTGTTTTGGCAGATGGCCATAGGTAGTGTGATCCAATGTGTCACACGCAGAAAGAAGACTAAGTCAATGAAGATGCAAGTATAGTCATGTACAACAGGAACATTATGAGCTGCAGTCACACTCTCAGGAATATGTAGGCCTACAGCTCAAAACTGAGAAAAAGGCACTGCCTTTCTAGTAGGAAGGGTAAGGAATGAAGACCTCTTACTGTATAAGAAGGCGTCCTCTGCTTGGAAGTGCTATCATAGCTGTCCTTTCCAACATCAAATTTATATGAAGGGAAAAAGTGAATGTCTGCTTCCCTGAACCCCTTGAAGATGGATCCTGCAAGGCAGAAAGACAAAGCAAGGATAATAAGGACTCTCTGTCCCAAGGTTCTGCCTCTGTTTTCACAAAGTCCATCAGACTAAAATAACTCAGCCTTCCAAAATTTAAAAATGAATAAGAAAAAATAGCAATGCCACTTACCTTTCTTCATTTCTTTAATAAGTTGATCATGCTGAAGTAGCTCTGACATGTTCATCTCCAGATTCTGTTTCAGGATTGACTCTACTGCCATCCGTCCACCATTCAGTCGAAAATTGAAATCTCCAAACCAGAACACTTCATCAAATCGACTTGTGACATCCACTGAAGCAAATGTCAGAAGGTTCATTAGTGTCATATTTCCTAGTTGAGCATCATAACACAAGCAGTTTCAGATCCTGGCTTTTAGCTATGGGTTAAAAACAAGACTAGTAGTGATACATACTGTATATAAAGCCCTGAAGGGCCCAACAGAGACTCTCAACAGGTACTCATTAAATTCTGAGGACTGGCTATCTAGTGAAAAAAGAAGACCAGTTCTGGAATAGACAGAGAAGCTTGTCCAGATCTGTCGCAAAATGGTAAGAAGGAACGTTTGCTTAGCTGTGCAATGGCCCACTATTTTGTAGCATTCCCTTGAAATTCAAATGCATAGAAAAGTTCACACTAATAAAAAGACAAGGGTTATGAAGAGACAGTTTCAAAATAGAAAACATAAGTTTCTAATAATCAAGTAAAACGTTATTTTTAACAAATATTCAAAAAGATGCAAATTAAAATAATTTTGAGATATCACACCTCATACCCATTATATTAGCAAAAATAATTAAAAGCAACAAAAATAAATGCTGGTAGGGCTGTGAAGGAACAAGCATAATCATTCATTCCCAGTGGAATTTCAAATCTGCAGAATCTTTTTGGAGAGCAATCTGATAGTACATATTAAAAGTTACCAAAATAATCATATGCTTTGACCCAATAAATTTATTATTGGGAACAGACCCTGAAACAGTTATTGAAATTTTTTTTAAAAGAGCAATTATTCAAAGATTTTTCCTAACAGCATAATGCATAAATGAAAAAAGTGGGAAATGTTCAATAATAGGAAAGTGGTTAAATAAATAATGCTACATTAAAGTATTGGAATTCTATAATGTAATTAGAATCAATGAGTATAAGGAATACAAAAAACAATGCTTTATGAAATAATGCAAAGTGAAAAAAGTAGAACTAAAAGAACAGATTATATTCTAATTACAATCAAATAAGAGGGAAAGCAAATGAGAGTGAATGGACAAAGAATCCTTATGAGGACTTTCAGAGAATGAATGGAAAATTTTAATACATTATATGCTGAAATTAACTTAAAATGTAAATAGTTCCTAAGCAAGTGTAGTTGGCTGTATTGATCTTCAATGTTATGTTTTTAATAAAATACTTAAATTTTAACATTTAAATAAAACATTAAATTTTAAAATCTTCGCTGATTTTTTTTCACTTCCATTTAAAACAGCCACAATTCATCCAATGACAAGGTACAGTATTATATCCAAATTAAGATAGTAAAAAAAGTCTTCCTGTTTAGCATGAACAAGGTACTGTTTCGGTATCTCAATTTTTCTTCTGCCAAATGGAATAACATTAACAATGAGTGTGACCCTTGTATACAACTGGGGCTGAAGAGATTTAAAATTATGCCCTCTCATCCTTTGTGATGAGAAGGATCACAAGCTAAACATTGTTTTTAGAATGGTGAGTTTATGTGAATGAGACTAGTTAGCTAGAAGTTATTTCTACAGTTTTTTTTTATTTCTACAGTTGTTGATCTTGAATTTACCTCCCCATATGCTCCTCCTCATTTTGCACATACATACATATATATATATATGTAATATAATATTATATAATAGTATACTGAAATATTACTATTACCCCTTGTGCCTACAGTAGACTCTAAAGGGCAGGAACCGTGACTCATATAAACTTTGTATTACTTCTAGAGCCCTGCAAAAGGCTATGCACACAACAGACAGTTAATAAATGCTTACTGTTTTACATTTTAATTAAAATTTTTTAATTTTTCTATAACACAATTCCCTAAGGCACAACAGAAAATATGCTTTCTATTTAAGTGACTAAGTAATTCATTACAAATTATAGAGAAAAATGTCTGTCAGTATTTTTTTTAAAATGTACATTTAGATTTGAATACTCACAGGAACTAGATAGATATGGGTTTGTATCTGGGACATTCTTAGGAAGTGTAAGTGCTTGGATAGTTTTACTGTAGTCTAACAGTCGATCAGATACTTTCCCATCACCAGCTGAAATAAAAGAAAAAATTAAAGAATGTGTGTGACACATAAATTTATAAATTCAAACAAGTCTAGATATTCTTTGGGCATTTCAAATATGATGCACTTAAAGAAGACAAAAACTCCTGGGTCACAATGATTCTATTTTCAGAATTCGATCTAATTTAGCCAAATGTACATAGTTTGGGGATTTAAACCAGAACATATTCCCTGTCTCCCCTGAAAAAATTAATTGCCCACTGTGAACAACTGACCACTGAGTATAAACTAACAGATACAAATTTAGGGTCCTGTCTTTGACTCTTGTTTTACAAGTCTGCAGAAAGCTTGATATAAGTCATAAAATCACAGAATTTCAGATCTGTCACAAATTAAAGACATTATTTATGAAGGGTCTAGACCCCTCATTTTACATACGAAGAAACTGAGGCCAAAAAGGCAAGTGATTCATCTAAGGTCATAAGTGGTAGAGCTGAGAACATAATCCAAATCACGTGACTCTCATACTTTGGTGTTCTTTCTGCTATCGTTGTCTTGTGCCACTCAACTATATTGAGAACATTGTCTTCACTAAAGTTATAGTTCTATCTTCAAAGGCACCAAAAACAAAATGCCAGGAACCTGTGGCCTTGAGGCCACATGTGGACTTCTAGGTCCTTGGGTGCAGCCTTTTGACTGAGTCCAAGTTTTACAGAACAAATCCTTTTATTAAGGGGATTTGTTATGTGAAGTTTGGATTCAGTCAAAGGGTGGCACTTGAGGACCTAAAGGGCCTCACATGGCCTGGAGGCTGTAGGTTCCCCACCCCTGCTCCAGAACTTCCTTTATGCAAGCATTTATCGAGTGATGTCTCAGGTAAATGGGAAGGAGATTGAAGAAGATTCTGAAGGGTTGAGCTTTGATGGTTTACACATCCCAATTATTTAACTTTTTGGAAAATAGCACAATTTCTCTAAGGTCTCAAGAAGCCAAAATTATTATTTATAGCTTTGTGAAGGGTTAAAAAAAATTAGTGATGTAAGGAAGTTTCAACAAAGATCCCTGCTATGCTATGCTATGCTATATAGTGTATTAGGTAACCATTCAGAAAATTCAATCCTTACTCCTCTGGTCCCTTAAGAATTAGTTTCCCAAATCTAGAGATAACTGATAGCTTAAATTGAGTTGCCAAGTGTACATAAAGGTTAATTTGATTTTTTTGGGGGGGGCGGTGAGAAGGAGGGAGGAAAGGTAATGTTTGTTCTAAAAAGCTAAGTTGCACAGTACATAGAGTGCCAGGCCTGCAGTCAGGAAGACTTGAATTCAAATCCTACCTTAGACACTTACTAGCTGTGTGACCCTAGACAAGTCACAACTTCTATCTGTTTCAGTTTCTTCATGTGTAAAATGGAGTTAAAACAAAATCTATCTCACAGGGTTGTTGTGAGGATAAAATAACAAAATATTTATAAAGTGCTTTATAATGCTACATAAATGCTAGCTATTATTAAATTATCAAACTTTATAAATTTAACTATATTAGATCTAATACTGAAGATGAAATCACTATCGTGACACAGTAATTCACATCCACTTTAAATCCATCACACTTTACTTTAAAAAGTATCTAGAACTGGTCTGAATAAGAAAGCCAAGGTTTCTTCTCATTCCCTACTATGTGGCCCTCTAGGCATTATATATTTTTGACAGTGAGAGTAGAGGCAAAATCTGAAATAATGGAGTTTGGAACAATTATAATATGTTGCACAAATTAACTGTATGCATTTTTACATATTTGGAGTTAGGCTTTTCTGTTTTGTTTTTGTTTTTGGCTAGGCAATGGGGTTAAGTGACTTGCCCAGGGTCACACAGCTAGTAAGTGTTAAGTGTCTGAGGCTGGATTTGAACTCAGGTTCTCCTGAATCCAGGGCCAGTGCTCCATCCACTGCGCCACCTAGCTGCCCCGAGTTAGGCTTTTCTGAATTCATAAGCTGCATTTATTCAGTTTATGAAGTTTCTACTATGTGTGAAGCACAATGCTAAGATCTAAAGGTACAAAAACAAAACATGATCACCCCTCAAAGAGTTGACAAATACACTACTTATTTAAGCAAGTAAATATCACTTCTCTGCAGGGTCAGGAAATCATCAACCACTGAGGGATCGGTAAAGGCTTTGTAATGTATCGAAGATGGTGCCACTCCTTGAAGGGGGCCTCTTCATTTAATGATTGAGGAATCCGTTGATTAATATAAAAACATTCAGTAGTTTTATGAATATCAAGCATGAATAACTAAGTGGTACTTTACATAAGTTACATAAGTATATATTACATATAATAATAAGTATATATGTGTGTGTGTGTGTGTGTGTGTGTGTGTGTATATATATATACACACACACACACATATGTATTTACCTAAGTATAGAGATGAAAGCAGTGAGAAGTTTTTTTAAAATAGAACAATTTAATTCAGAAAGTAAGTGACTTACAAGTGAAGTGAGATGTGATAAAGAGAAAGGAGGTGCCAAAAAAGGTGAAGCTGACTCCCAATGACCCTTTGGTTTTTATCTGAGACACAATTCGAGTTGTTACTGTTGAATATTCTACTTCTGTATGTGGGAAAGAGAAAAAGAACAGAGAATTACTTTCCTATTTAGACTATTTAGTTTATAACACTGTTGCCTTTTCAATCTTTTCCAAAGAGGCATGTCTAACAAGTTTATCCGAAGAGGTTTACTCATTTTTTCCAGGGGACAGGGCCTATCTGCCCCAACACTAAATCACCCTAGGTTGCTATGTTTTGAAAATTGTGTTTACTTTTTAGAATTCTCCTGCCTCTACCCTCACTGGCAGGATATCAGTTACTGGGATTCCTTCCTTTAAGAGCCGCCCCCACAAACCTAATTTGCTGTATCCATGCCACTTTTAGTTAGGCAAGGAGAACACTGAGCAAGCCAAGATTTTCTGTGAAATAAAATTACAGTTTCAATAAGTAGACTGAGTGAGGTCCCCAAGACCTCTTCTGAAGAATAAAGTATGTCAATTTCAGCTACTGCTATTTTGTCAACTCAGGGGCCTTTTTTGCTTTAGTTTCCACAGCTATGTTTCCAAATGGCTGAAGCTGCCCCAAATCTGGCCACTAAAGAAGTAGGACCTTATAACTTTTTGTCATAAACAACCTATAGTTAAGTATTTAAGGAGCCTCTAAAGTAGTAACCTGGGGTGAAAATCTGTAATAGTTATGGACTTTTCTTGTATGACCTTGTTTTTCTAAATGAAATCCCTTCCGGAGCCTAATAGTAAAAGAAATTAATCTGTTACACTCCTGTGTGTCTATGTTTAAGCAATCCATCATAAACAGATGTACTGTAAAAAGAACAAGTATATAAATGCTGTTCTTTAATGTTAACAAAAAGGTCAGTTTTTTTTAGGGGCATGGCTGCTAGTTTCAATTCCACTAATAGTAGTATTACTACTCCTACTTCTGTAATTCCTATTTTCTTTCACCACATATTTCATACCTGAACAGAACCAGATGAGGTCCCTTCTTATAAATACTGACATGTATAGTACACCGTGGGCAGCTGAGTACAGCATTACATAATGGGGTCCCAAAGTTTCCTGTAGCCGAATCTCCCACTCCCGCCTGTGGGAAAGAAAACGAAAGAAACAAATCTACACTTCAGCTCTGAAATGACATGAACAAAACAGCTAAAGATGAGACTTTACATTCTGTTTTCATGATAGAAGAGCAAACTGGCAAAATATTGGCAGAGTTAAGAATCAAAGTACTGAGTTTTTTCATTAAGTCATTGTGGGAGAAAAAAATCTAAGAAAAACAATAACAACAAAATCTAAGCTATTTTTAACCAAAGGAAAACACGGCAACTAAAATCCTAGTAATAAACATGCTGTGATACATTTAACTAGCCATTTTTAGTCTCATAAAAAGGTCAAAGCAGCTTCCTATTATGAAACAAAAAGGATTAACTTTCTGTGAAAAGGCCATATGGCCCATGATAAAAAAGAAGCATCTCTGTTCTAGGGCCTTCTGTGTACAGAGATTACCAATTTCCAAGCTCTTTCTTGATGACATGGTAACCTGGCAAAAATGTCAACAATCAGGAAAATACCATAAAAATCTAAAAGTCTACCCAAACAAGATAGACTTCTCAGTCGATCTTAAAATGAATGCATCAGGATCTGACACATATCCATAACAGAGTAGTTATCTACATAATATGAAAACTTCAACCCAGAAATAAGAGACAAATATCTGGAAATTACACGGGAAAATTAAGAATAAAATTCAGAAATCAAAGTCAAAAGCTGAGAAATGACAGGCTAGGGCTTCAAATTGAATACTCAATATATTTTCCCTTTAGCCCTTAATAATTTTTTAAAAAGTTATTTAATAATTACTTCCTTAAGAAAAAGTGGGAGGGGAAGGAAGTAGAACAAGAACAATTTGCTTTTAATATTAGTTTGGCCATTATAGAAAAGGAAGTAAAACTGGATATGCCTGGCACCTAACACAGAGCCTTTCACATAGTAGATGCCCTCCCAAATTCTTGTTGATGATAATAATTTCCATGAGTGGCATCTATGTACTATCTCAGACAGTATTAGGTACAGACAGAAAGGTTGAGCTTAAAGCAAGATCTTTCAGCTGTAGGAATTTGTAACTAGCAGTTCTGGCTTTTATTTTGGCAAATACAAAATATGGTGAGAACTGGAAAAGTGAGAAGAAAAAAATGTGTGAAGAGGAGAGGCACATGAAATAAAGATATAATTTAACAAGGTCTTATTTACACTGGCTATAATACCTGTCTGAACAGCCTTCTTGCACTCCTAAAACATACATGTCCTGGACACAGTCAGCTTCAGAAGGTAATAAAAAGTCATCCAGGTTATTTGGAAGTTCCTGCGCAAAAGTTGAACAAACTGGTTAGATCAAAGGATAAGATGACAAGCAGCAACATAGAGACTGTAAAATATAAACAAGACAATCAGAAACGAAGAGTAAGGTACAAGAAGTACATAACAACACAATTTAACTTTCATTAGAAGATCACAAACACCCCATTTCTTATTGAGATATGAGTACTGGGTTATTCTATTTATTTTTAGCCAAAGGTGGCCCCAAGAAGATAAATGACTTGTCTAAGGTCAAAGAGCAAATGCTTGGTGAAGCTTATAAAATAAATTATAAATTATATAAATTATAAAATTATGATTTTCTCTTTCTAAATATCCAATTACATTTAATCAAGCAAATTTCCAGCTTGGGGCCTCAGTTCTCTCACCTGTGAAACGAGGGAGGGGTTTGGACTAAAGGTCTCTTTATGCTCTGACATTCTATGTTCTATGTTTTTAAACACAGGCAATGTGTTCCACAAGTTTTCAGGGTAATCAATTTAAACTAAACCTTGTGAAGAGAAAATGTGCCAACTACAACTGTGTAACTAGCAAATATTAACACCACCATTGCTGTTCTCTCAAAATTGTTCTTTTCAATTTATTTATGGAAATATTTACTATATTTCTGACCTGAATTGGATTTCTGGTAGTAAGAGCAATCCTGGCTTACAAATGTCATGGTCATAGACAGCTGAACAGAAGGTAGATCTGTTTCAGTGAGAGCCATCAGAACTCTTATTTTTAGGGTATAAACCATTCTGAGATTAAGTACTATTACAATAGACTCTGCTTTAACAAAGGAGACTCCTGGATTGATGCAAGTTATTCATTTCAGAAGGAAACATGTGGGACAACAAGCTCTAAAATACACCGTTATCAAAAAAAAAAACCAAGAAAAAAATTTTCATGTACAAAACTACCAAACTGCCTCCTGCTTTCTCAAAGTGTTTTGTTCCTGGTGGGAAATTGATCTAGATGACAAGTGGTTTTACTAAGTCTCATCATGAAACTTCAGAATAAAACATTTTTCCAATTGGATTAAATCTGTGACAGTAGCAAATTTTCTGTCATTGATCTGTTAGAAATGGATACGATAGGGAAAATAATACTTTCTTTGTTCTATTTTACACAAGCCAGCACTTTTGTTATTTATTAACACTAAATCATCAATCTCTGCAGCATGCTATCTAGGTAAATGTCCAGGCTGCTAGTACACTATTCATTTTCCACGTGGGGCTAACTAATTAAAAAGACAACAGGATTCCATTGCATCATATTGCTTACCGGTGGTAGAGTAATCAAGTAGCAGGTCATAGGAGAGAATTAACAAATTTCCACTTGTAGTCACATTCTATAAATGTAACTCTACCCAACAAAAGAGTTCACTACATATTGATATTCCTTCTGTTCTTATCTTCCCCCTACCACTTGTACAAGCTGCAAAATCCCTGAGATCAAACACAGTTATACAACCTTCTGGCCCTGCATGTTCCATGTGGCCACAAAGAGTCCCAAGTTCCCATCTGGAAAGTATCGGGTTAGTTCATCCACTCCCAACAAGGCACCACTAGCTGAGAAGTTTCCTTCCATATAGCTCCTATAAAAAGAATAAAATAGACTAGGTTCAAAACAATAGTGAATTCCAGAATAAGGCTACCAAGTACTTCCAAATGGTACAAGTCTTCAAAGGAGAAATACAGCAAAAGCATCCAGCTATGTATACTCTCTGGAGAGATGTAGCCAAACTCTTAGCTAAGACAAACTCAGACTAATATAATTTCTCCTGAAAAGGATCACAAAACTTTAATATTAAGACACCAATTTTCTTTCTTTTCTTTTCTTTTCTTTTTTTTTTTTTTGCTGAGGCCATCAGACTTGCCCCAGGTCACACAGCTAGTAAGGGTTAAGTGTCTGAGACTGGATTTGAACTCAGGTTCTCCTGATTCCAAGGCCAGAGCTCTATTCACTGAGCAACCATGCTGTCCCTACCAATTTTCTTGAATCAAATCTGTTAATGGAAACTGCCTACAAAACAGGAGAGTGACTAGAAACTGATTTGAAAAAGAATTGGCATAATTTTTGTCCACTTTCAGCTTTTAGTCACCATACTATAGTGACTAAAAAATACTGATTTGTCCTGACTTTATGAAAATCTCATATCTAAAGCTCTAAATTTAACACAATATATATTAGGGGATGATTTTTTGCACATTACAAAATTCTTCACTTTACCAAATAATTCACCACAATATTCATTTGAATATTCCATTCCTTTTGTAAATCTAAAGTAGGATTTGATTTCCAAAATAAATCTACTCACCTTCGAGGTGTTTTTTTTTCCTCTTAAATTAAGGCCTACTATATAAAATTTGTTTCCTGAGTCATTTTTCTGACAACCAGAAAGCAATTTTTGGTAAGCATCACCATACAACTCACTCACATCAATCCTCCTGACATGTCCTTCATACATTTCTGATGCCCAAAAGCACTTTCCAAATCTAGCTCTGTAAGCCTGGTCACAGATAAAAGATTGCTTTTGATGTCTAAGACAGAAGATAAAAAAGCTGTTCAATTCTCCTTTATTTTAAAGCGCAGGGGAAGACCCATGATAATTCACCCTTGGGTATTCGTTTTGGTTTGTTAACTTTGTGGACTATGTCAGTAAGGTGGGAAGAGCACTGGCCTGGGAGTCATGTTCTAGTTCTAGTTCTGCAACTAATTCACCGTGTGACCTTCAGTCTGTCACAGTCAACAAGTATTATTTAAGTGCTTATTCTCTGTTAGGCACTGTGCTAAACATTGGGGAAATGAAAGGAGAAAAAAAAACCTGGTGCCTGCCCTCAAGGATCTCACATTCCAATGGAGTTCACATTCTACTGTGGCAATTCAATTTGGATAAAACCTTTCCAATCACTAGGCTTCAGTTTACAATGGGATGTTTAGACTAGCTTTCTCTAAGGTCCCTACTCGTTCTAAGTTTCAAAGACTTGATAGAATTTCCTGGGAAACTAATACAATACCTAAACACAAAAGGTTCTTCAACTCTGACAAAGGGAACGAAATGGAATCATTGAGTAAAGGGGAACTAGTTTTCAGTTTTTAATTCACACATTAATATAGTTTTTCCTCACTGCTTTGGTTCAGCAGGTGAAATTCCAATGAGGACAAAGATAATTCAATGTGGTGCTCACCAAATGCCCAATACATTTCATTTCATTAAAAAAAAAAAGGCTTCTTGACAGCAGGGTCTTTTATTTTTGTCCTTGTATCCCTAACACCTGGCACATAGTAGGCACTTAAAAAAACTGTTTGCTGGGTTGATTGAAACAGCAGCTGAAGGTAAAACCCTGTAATTCACCTGAGGGCAAATTATATAATATGCAATGTTGGAGTTATTAGTCCTTAGCTAATTCTTTTCACTGAGGAAAAAAGCAGACACATTTGTAGGTATAATTTTTTGAGATGATCATTCATCCTGGAACCTCCCGCCAAAGAAAACATTAACAACCCTGTCTTCAGCTTCTCTCACGCTAATTATATCTTTTAATTCACAACAAATAGAAAAAGACCCAATTTAATCATAACTGCCTGTCTTAGTCCTATAGAAATTAAAATAAATGAAAATTTTCTCAACTAGTCTTCTTTTGAGGGGAAAAAAAAGGATTTAAGCTAGATGTTTTTGCTTAACTGTTATGACAGAGTACAATCTAGAAGGAGGAATGAAATGACAATGAAATAAGGACAAAAGAATCAATAAAATGCTTAAAGATTTAAACTATTAAACTAAGGTTTCTGCTAAAAACAACGTAAGAATTCTTGTAATTTTTAAATCACTCCACTGTAAGGTGGCATGCCAATTTTAAATGATAAATGGCTTATAGAATGTTTAGTTTCACCTGGCAGTGAACCATAATACATACTGGAGGCATGCTAAATCCTCTCAGGCCATAAAAAGTCAATATTAATTAAATATTAAAGCTACATCCTGCCAAATTATGGGAAATCATTATCTCTTAAAAGCATTTTTTAAATGTAAAGATAACTTGCACCCAGCCCAGAATTCTGCAGTAAAACTAACAGAGCTGTTAGCTCACATCGTCTGTGTAAAGATGAACAATCAGTAATAGTAGTTATCTTCAAGAAACTGTGATGCCACCTGTCTGGGCAATCCTCCACTGATACAGATTTCAACCTTTCTGCAATTTAGTAGATGGTGTTTGAAAGCTCCTGGGGCAAAAAAAAAAAAATTACCACTTCATGGTCAACCTAGTGATGAGATTCTCCAAATTTTGCAAGGCTGGGTCCCTGGACCACAGATAGAAAAACTGTCATTAGGCCTATAATCTTTGTATGATTTCTAAGCAAATAAAACACAGCACAACATTCTAACCTCATCTATCTTTGGCCCACCTCTCCCCAGAGGAATGGGATTACAGCTGTCACTTATATAAAATCAACAGGATGAAATTTTAAAGCGGGGCACCTACCTGTTTCTGACATCCTTTGAGTAAATGGGTGTAAGAAGGCTGAATGCGGACTTCAAAGAGGTCGTGGAACAGTTATCACAAACCACACAGCTTTGTAATCTACCATCACTCAGGCTACTACCAGGCCGGAGCAATTTACTTTGAGCGTTATGCTTATAATTTATATAATCTGGGTCAATTTTATTAGTTGTCCTTAGGGTTTCAGATGCTACATTCAATTCCAAAGGGGGAAGTGCTAATGGTGGCAATACTTTGGAAAGTCTAAGTTTGTTCCATGAAGTTGTAACCCCATGCAGAAGCTCCAGGGAACCACTTGTCACAGTGGGAGGAATAATTTCCAAGGAGGAAGGGGGATCTGTATTATTTCCTATGTCTCCTGGTTCAGGAATATCCTGCAAAGAGGTGCTCTGTAGGCTGCTGAAGTTGTGAGGAGTATGACTGCCATCATGAGCCAATGTAGTCAAAGTTGGAGGACTTGTAGTCACCTCCTGTAGGGAGCCAGATGATGAACCTGTCTCATTAGGGTCTGTCAGGCTTTCTTGGCTTGTTCTAAAACGCCTCCTCCTCCAGCCTTTCTCATCTAAGGAAAATGTTCGCTCCAGCTTTGGTTTTCTGGGTGGTTTGGGGGTGATGGATTTGACCTTCATGTTAAATTTCATTTCCTCAGTCGTAAGTCTTAAGAGTCTATTGAAAGGAAACTCTGAGGTGTTCCCACAAGGCTCATTCCTTTCAGGCAATTCATTCTTCAGCCCTGCTTCTTTTAGCATTGTATCAGATTGTGGACTCACACAGGCTACTGGCTGCTGGGAAACTGAATGCTTAGGATCCATTATCACTGGCTTGGTTGGCATCTTCTGAGAGTGTCCATACCCCCACCAAGCTTGGGAGCTTGATCTTCCTGAGAAAACTCACCTTGTTAATTCACCACTTATCCCTCTGAATATCCTGGATATGCATTTGGGTTTGGAAAGCCCAAATACCAAAGTCAAAGACCCTATAGATACCTTACTTTGGGGCCTGGGACGGTGTAAAATGGCCACAGTCAACTGGCGCATGGTTGGAAATCTTGAAGTCATGGAGCCACAAAGAAATTTCTGAATGGAAGGGAAATAACATATCATTAGAATTTATTAAATCATACCAATTAATGTCAAATTTAACACAAAGGATTTTGTAAAGATACAAGGGCATAGCATATAGTCACCAAATGCATGAGCAATGCTATGGCACCTATGTATAACTATATGTGTAACTAGCATTTGTAAACATATATGTTTAGATATATGTATATACACACATATACATATACACATATACATACATACATGTGTGTATGTGCGCACATATATACACACACACATATATATATATTTGTAAACAGCTTTACACTAAAGTGTAAGATAAAACCCCATGTTACTACCACTTTAATGACAGCCCAACCCCACCACTGGGTGAGCTGGCTGTATCACTTGGCATGCTGAGGACAAAACAGATAAAAATTCACAAGCTGACTTTCCAAACCTGCTATCAAGTTACACTCTTCTCTGACAGTACCCACCTAAGGAGCTAGATGGCTTAGTGGATAGACTGCTGGATATGGAGGCAGGAAGGCTTCAGTTCAAATCCTTTTTCAGACACTTACTAACTGTGGGGTACTGGGCAAATCATATACTCTCTCAGCCTTAGATTCTTCAACTGCAAAATAGGGATAATAATAGTACCCACCTCCCAGAGTTGTTGTGAGGACCAAGTGAGATAATAGATGTAAATCCTCCTGCAAAGCTTTAAGTACTATATGAAATGCCACTTATTATTATTATCCAATGTCAACTACTATACCTAAATATGAAGAGCAGAATTTACACATAAATCTGAAATCTTAATTTTCTCCTTCTTGATTATGCAAGTGACCAAAATGTCCATATCCTTCAATTCTAAGATTCTACTGTTGAGCATATACCCCAAGGAAATCACTAACAAAAAGGTTCCATGTACACCAAAATATTTATAGGAGCACTTTTTGAGGTAGTAAAGAAAGAACTGGAAACAAAGTGGTTGTTCATTGACTGGAAAATGGTCAAACTGTGGTACATGAATGTAATGGATTATTACTGCCTTAAGAAATAACAAAAATGAATATGGATAGAAATGGAAAGACTTCATGGACTAATGTAAAATGAGGTAAAAAGCAGAGCCAGGAAAACAACATACACAAAAATTATAAAAATGGAAATGAAAATAGAACCACTACCTTAAATTATAGACTGAATGTTATGAAGTGATAAAAAAAGTTTATTATCAAAGAAGAGATATGACACTTCCTCCCATTCCTTCACAGAGGCTAGGGCCAGCAGGCATGAAACTCTGCACCTAATATCAGATTTTTTGAACGTATGGATTGTTTTAGAAAATTTCTCTTCTTTTCCTTTAAAAAAATTCTTTGTTTATAAGGAATGTCTCTCTGGGAGGAATGGAGGAGAGATACAGTGGAAAACTAGGAGATCTGAAACAAAAGATAGCAATAAAAATTCGTTTAAAAAACTTTCTCCTTTGTTTCAGAAGTGAATTCATAAAACACCTCTGTTACACTTCAAGGCAACAGCTTCCAGTTTTCCCCCTTCTCAAGCAAGATCCAATTCTTGCTCTTTGCTTATCAATGACTATTTCTAGCTCCTACTCCAATTCTCTATCTCTATCCTTCCCGCAGCCTTAAAACCAATGGTATTGTCTCTCTCAGGGAATCCACACACAAAGCAAAGGAGGGTGGGCTCCAGACAGGGTCTGCGGGAGCAAGGGCAAGTTTCGTTCCTTGGTCTTGGCGTGATGTCCCACAAGCCACAGACCCTCTCTGGGCCTAGGGAGACGACTTTCTCCTACTTCCTGGCCTGACAGGAATACTGGGAGAGTCCACATGCACCCGCAAAAGTGAGCCAGAAAAGGCCTAACTAAGTTCAAAAAAAAAAAACAGCAGCAGTGGATAAAAAGGGAAAAGCTCACAGCGACCTCCTGGAGACTATAAATCAAGATTACTCTCACACGTTTCCTCTTTCCCCGAATTCAATTGCCCCAATATACTTACCCCCTCGCGAATGCTGCTTAGATTAAGGGAGGGAGCAAGGAAGGAGGGGACGAGGGGCAATGATGGGGCTGGGGGAGCATGGCGGGGGGGCCCGGGGCGAGGACGAGGGCGGCCCCAGGGCGATGGGGACCCACGGATGCCGGGGTGGGGAGGAGACGCAGATCCTGGAGGGGTCGGGGAGGGAGAAGGGAGAGCGGCTGGGGAGGTCACGACACGGGGCGCGAGGGGAAGGTCGAGGAGGAGGAAGAGGAGGAGGAGACCGGGAATGGGCCAGGAGGGAGGCTAGAGGGGATGGGGAGGAGGACGTGGAAAAGACAGACGCGGGGCGCAGGGTGGGTCAAGGAGGGGACAGCTGGGGAGACCTCGAGTGATTCGTGGATGGGGCCCAGCGGCACGGAGGGGACCCTGCCGAGGTTGTGGAAGGGGCGATTCAGGAAGCCTCGGCGCTCACCTGCCCCAACCCCGCGCCGGGGCCTCGCCCCCCGGGCCGCACTCCCAGCTCAGCTTCTTAGCAACCGTGCGACCGAGGCGGGAGAAAGGATGGCTGTGGCGGCGGGACGGGGTCGAGGCATCGCCCCCTGGCGTCTGGAGGACCCGCACGCCGTGCAGCCTCCTGCCCGCCAGCCGCCTCTTCTCACCCCCACCCATCCGACCCATCCATCAGTCCAAGGGCAGGATTCCCCAGTGAAAGCTTCCCGCATCCTTCCCCTTCCCCCTTTCGGGGCCACGAGTTGGAAAACCAGCCTTTCCTCCCAAAGGTGCTGGGGGAGGTTTGATTTGTGAGCCTCTCGCTGAAGGCTCTCAACCCATGGGCCAGAGGAAGCATTTCAATTTCCTGGGCTCTCTAGGTGATGCCTTGGTTAAAAATCCAACCCTCCTGCCTCCCTCCCGGGGTTGGAAGGGTCCCTGGATCTGACTCAGCTTCCCCAAACCCCAGGAGAAAAAATGTGTGTGCTCCTGATAAGAGTCTGTGAGAGGGCACTGAGAGGCAGTTAAAGGACTGAGGGCGGTCAGTGGTCAGCCACCGGGCAGCTCCTATTTACTTCCAAAGTTCCAAAGTCCCTGGAACTCCAAGTCCAAGGGGAAAAGGTCCTGAAAGGCATTAGAGCGCTAGAGACCTGGCCTTACATGGTAACTGTCACTTGGGTCTTAGTCTCCTTGTCTGTAAAGTGAAGGGCTCAGAATAAATTCTCTCTCAGAGTCTCTTCTGGCTCAAAAAGGCCCATGAACCTATAAATTTCCCTTATTCTGAGAAGCAATCTGACAGCTGTGTATTTCATAATGCACTGCCTATAAACAAGCATTAGAATACCCTTCATGGCTGCCTTTTAGGTAATCTCAAATGGAATAACTAGGATTTGTATAGGGCTTTAAGGTCTGCTAAGCACTTTACACACATTCTCATTTGATCATCATAACAACCATATGAGGTAGGTGCTTTTATCCTTATTTTACAGATGAGCGGCTCAGGGGAGTTGTGACTTGCTAGGGTCACACAGTTACTAAGGGTCTGAGGCAGGTAAGGGTCTGAGGCAGGATTTGAACTCAAGTACTGATTACAAGTCTAGTGCTCCACCCATTAAGCCACCTAACTGCCTAAACACTTCAAGTTTTACTTCACTGAGTAGTAGTTCAAACTGACCAGGGAATTTCAGGAGTCAAGTGATCCCTTGCTTTTTCTTTACTTCCAGCTAAAATATGTTATATGTAGCCTGTGTCTTTTCACAGGATTTCTCTCTAATGAATGGTAAAATGTAATTCCTACTTTAGTAATACCCCATAGATTGTAATGAAGGTCTACTTTTAAAAAATTTGGATGTGGTCAAGACTTTTTATATGTTGACATGGAAAACCCATCTATGCCAAGATAATCATTTCACTTTAGTTTGTTACCAATAATGACAAGCAAAGTAAAATATGAAAGTGCTCCAGAGCGCAAAATATTTTATTTAAGAATTTACAGTGTCAAATCTAACACTTTTAGGAAAAATAGCAGCTCCCAGATCAGAGGAAGCCTTCTTGAATTAAAAGGTGTTTGGCAGTCTATGCGGAAAGAACAATCGGCAGCAGGGCTGAACTGTAGGAAGCCAATGATCCAAACAAAGTTTTGAAGATCAAAAGAAAAAAATCACATTGACTGCTGATGAGAGAGTCCAGGAGTTAGGATTATGGACCATTAAACAAAAGACTGTATTTCCACCAGGACTTGCCTTTTTATAAGTTGAAGTAAATGAATTCTACATTTAATTGTACAACCCTGCAAAACATTTTGGAGTTTAAGTTTCTCTCCCCCATTTAATCCAAATGTTAGCTAGATAAAAAGGAAGGACCAGTGCTAAATCCACATTTACATCATTTCTACTCTTAGAGGTTCAAATACCAAAGTAACAAATTATTCATCTTCCCCCAGCAAAACCTAAAGAAAGTATGACCTATTGATTTTATAAATATTAAATCTTCTCTCTCATTGGGCCTCTTTAGACTTAACCAGTATGAATAGTATTGAAAATATTCTAAATTAAACCTAAAAGATTTTTCAAGTTCATTAGGTAGAGGTCTATGTTTGCAGTTTAGCATGACTGATATTCAACATATAAGCTACTTAAGACCTTGATATGGAAACTGTTTTGAGGGCAGAAATAACAGATTCCAGGATTTCAGACAGTATTCTATTGTGTTTAACCATTTTCAAGATGTGACCATTGGAATGAAACTGTGCCAACAGTATGAGAGAAAAAAAAGCAACCTAACCATATTGCACTGTAAAAAAAAATCACTCCTCAGAAGAGTACAGCATTGACTATTATACAAGAGCTTTTCATACTATACAATTTCTTTTACAATGAGCCTAAACACAAGCTACATACATACTAGGTAAAATCCAAACCAAATTTATTACAGTCACAGTTTTCATTTAACAATGGTTAATTTGGATCAGCTGTGGCCCCCAAGATCGATATGCACCAGTCATAGCCTAAAATACATGTTCTTTTGCTGATGCTCTCTTAATAACTGAACACCCTTTATACATAGACAAACATCACTGTAACTTCATGTGCATTAAAATTAGTCATGGTCCTAGTAAGGCCACAGAGAGTTAAGTAAAAATGAAAACATACTTGCTACAGGAAAGGAAATGCACTTCTGTAACTAGGGCAAAAACTAACTTTCCATTCTTAAATCACTCTACTAGGTTCCAAAATTATGAGGATGAGGGAACTGCCTTTGGTTGCAGATCTGAAGTTGGTATGAGTAATAGACATCAACTATTTCCCTCTAATGCTTCATAGATTCAGCCTTTCCAACTAGGATCTTAAAGGAAATGTGGAATTACTTTTGACCATAATTCACACATGGACTGCAAGAAAAGGAAACCAGAAGAAAAATCAGTATTAAATTACTGCTATGTCAATTTCAGAACAGAGTAGCTATACCATGTGCAATACATCTGAATTATCAGTATATCAGAAGAATTTCAAGTGTTCCAATAACTAATCCAAAAGATAAAACAGTCTACTTCAGTGCTGGATACTTCCTCTGACCAATTCTTCCCAGCCTGGAGCTTCCAGTGATGGCAGATGGCTGAAATGAAACAAACTGCATTAAGTCACAGACTTTACTGTCTCAATTACACATAGAAGTAAGAAGTTTTCTTGTAATATATAACTATATAGCTTATTAGGGGGCAGGGGGAAGAATGAAGGCATGTTGATAAAAATTAAATAGGCCATTACAACCCAAAGAAAAACAAGTATATTTTTCTAAGTGAATAGAGATTCTTTACTATATAACAACTGTAACTAGTTTAATTGTTGGAATTTTGAAAATTTTTAAGTTGCCTGATGTCTACTAAAAAAAGTTTAAATTTAAGTGCATTTCTATGGTCAAAAGATATAAAGAGAACATTTTTCAAAAGAGGAAACTCAAATCGTTAATAATTACTAGAAAAGATGTTCAACCTCACTAATAATCAGAGGGGTGCAAATTAAAACTACTTGGAGGTACCAACTTGGGACTTGACAAAATGGAAAAAATAATTAAAAGCAACAAAATCCAACCCCCAGGAGGGGTTGTAGGGAAACAAGGAATACTGAATCATTGCTCATGAAATTACAAACTTGTGGAATATTTTTGGAAAGCAATATGACAGTAAATAGTAAAAGTTACCAAAGAATAGTGATGGAGATTTAGAGGGAATGATTGAAAAGTTAAGATATTTATTGAACCTAATTTAAATTAAAGACTTAACTAAACAAGATTAACTTGCTGAACTGATTGTTCAATGTTAAATTAGAAAAAGTCATCTAATTTTAAAATTTCATTTCCTTTACAATAGTTGAATTTCTCTTTAAAAAGCTTTAGGTTTGATTGCCTAACAGTAAAAAAAATTAAGTTTTAATCATCTGATGATATATAATGTTTATTCAATTAGTCAACCTTTCTGCAGCAGCTAAACTCCTAACAAGTACTGTGGGGGGTGGGGGAGGAGTAGAAAGAGCATGTCCTGCAACCAAATCTGTTGAAAATTTAACAAAAATAAATGATATGCTATCAAGGTAAACTATCAATGAGTACAAGCAGATAAAGCACATGGCTGTGTATATAAAAAGAAAAGGAAGTCTAAAAATAGGAAAGAAGAAAGGAGAGGGAAGAAGGGAGGGAAAAATGAAGGAAGGGAAGGAGGATTTGTTAAGTGTTTTACTATGGTGCAATGTTCTTACTTGGTCCTCACAACAACCCTGTGTTGTTGTTGTTGAGTCGTTTCAGTCATGTCTGATTCATCATGACCCCATTTGGGCTTTTCTTGGCAAAGATACTGGAGTGGTTTGCCATTTCCATCTGTAGCCCATTTGACAGATGAGGAAACTAAAGCTAACAGGGTTAAGTGACTTGCCCAGACTCACACAGCTACTAAGTGTCTGAGGATGGATTTGAACTCATGAAGATGAACCTTCCTGAGTCTAAGCCCAGGGTTCTATCCACTGTGCCACCTAGCCGCCCAGAATCCTGGGAAATAGGTGCTATTATTATTTCCATTTTACAACTGAGAAAACTGATACACACAGAAGTGAAGTGACTTGCTAAGTAAC